TTATATATTATTATATATTATATAAGTATATAAATATATATATATATATTAGATATACTAATATATAATAACGTTTTTCGCGTGATTTTTATTAACGATAATAAAATGAATAAGAAAGTAACTATATATTGAATAATCGTCAAGAAACGTTTATTATAATTTTCGCAGGTTTGCATACTTACGTTTACAACGAGAGCACCCATACCGAACGGGAGGAGGACGAGATACTAACTGTGAAGTATGAGGATGGCAGATGGTCAAAACCTTACTACGATTGCGGTGGTGGTAACATCTGGATGTTGACCTACACCGTACCTTTTTTTGGATACGTTAACGACACATACTTCTTTAAGTACGTATCTAATATCTATATTAATGAAATGAATGAATAAATGAACGAACGAATGAATGAATGAAATAACTTCAAAGGTTTAATTATCCAATAGCAGGAAATTACATCTCCCCCAACCCCCATAATCCATCGATGCAAAGGGAAACTCGTACCTGAATTGTTTGATCTGTTCGTTCTTTAATCTTACGATTTCCAAGAATATTCTACGATATTTTTTCTGGATCTTCATAGATACACACATACAGGATTTTTCACAAAAATCTGCCACACAATTTATTCCTACCGTAAAGTATTTTTTTTTTTTTTTTTTACATAACAATATTGAAAGTGAGAAACTGATTGTGAGAGAAACAGGCGGGGGAGGTGAAGGGTGGTTGGCGGAGGAGGAGGAGGTGGTTTAGGGAGTGTATGGGTTGTAGTGGGTGGTGGAGGATGAGGATGAAGATCGATGAGACACATTGAACGACGCAAATCGATTTTACGTCAGGCAAAGAACGTGTTTCCCTTCCATCCTCGCGAGGACGACGACGTCATTACACGCACGGAAGAAACCTTTGTATGTGCTAATGAATATTAAAACCTTTCGTACCTTTTCCCTTTTAAATTCTTGGGCATGCGATGTACTTCGGAGTTTTGTTGCGTTAATTAGCAGACGTTTCGAATTACCGATTTTAATGAACTACGTTGAAACAACTATTACTTTCTACGAAAGAGAGTTAAAGATAATATTACTAGATTTTCCTTGTCATGTTTTACAAAAATATACGTTTAAGGTTAATTAACGGTTTCATACTTATAACTAATTTATTCTAACCTAAGACATTATTTTCATCTTAATCTTTTTCTCAAGTTTATATATATATAATACATGTCATCGCTGAAGTTTCAAACTCGTTGATGTGCAGATTATCTAGATTATCCGCAGATTAATTGATTTGTTTCATTAACGTGAGACACATTTAGAGTTCTTTTTTTCACATTTTATCTAGATTAATTTATCTGTTGAACGTTGCTCTGTTGTTCTATCAAAGAATTTATTTTTATTTTAATCAGTACCTAATAAGTAATATATAGATTACCTTAATCTGCAGAATAATTGATCATCACTGCACTCTCGTGATAAGATATACAATAAAATATAAAAATTGGAGGTATCAATGGGGGGTGGGGGTGGGGGTGGGAAGACAAAAGGTAAATCAATGTTTCTTCCAGGAATATATCTATCTAATCGAACTGAGAGTCCTCGTACGCAGCTCTGGGGACAACTGAACAGAGACTCTCGAGCTAGCTGTTACAAGTTACGTCAAAGTTTATGACTTACTCAGGCACAACTTTACCGATATTGCTTCGCCGAAGTTGAGTTAGCCTCTGGCAAACAAACTACCTTAACTGTTTCGAATTTTGTTAAAAAGATATATGTATTTGTATAGATATATATGTATATACGTATCTGAATATACATATATGTTACCATCGAAGCCGGGAATATTTTGAAATAACTGATTTTTGATTTCATTTATTTCATGAAATAACTGAGTGGGTCAGGTAATATATAAAATAACTGGTGGGTCAGTTAATTTGTACAATGCCTGACCTGCTAACTTTTCTTTCCAATTTTATGAACCTTTGCAGATTGATTTATAACTCGAAAAGGTACTCTACGCGTAGACAAAAGTGTGTACTTTAATTTAATATAAAAATCATTAAAATCTATTTGTTAA